TAATAATAATATTAATAATAATAATCATTATCATTGTTTTCTATGTTGGGCACGCATCTCAGGATAACCTTTAACTGCAGGGTGTCAATGGTGTTGATGGCCTATTAGCCTAGAATTTCATATACTTCAAATCTAAAATATCAATGTTTGAAATGCGCATTTATTATGGAAAATACCATTAAAATAACTTCAGCAAACATTGGTTAGTTTCTTATACACAGTATGAGTGCTAGAGAAGTTGCGAAGGTTAAAACATGCTGTCATATTTTGGTGTTGTTGATGCACACTTACTATTGAACTCCTGGTTTTGCTGTCGAAGAAGTAATCTTTGTCTGATAGGTCAAATCTGTCAACATACACATAAAATAAACATTTTTAAAAAATCAGGCAAGAATCGATCAAGGCACATACATAATACCAGGGGTGTCGAACATGAGACCTGGGGGCCAGAATCAGACAGGGAAAGAGTCCAATCCATCTCATCTGACAGCTTTGAAAAATGTGCAGAAGGGTGTCAATTCCCCCCAGTTGCCATTCATACTACACACATAGTAATTAATAGATAAACAATATAAGCAAAAACAATTAAAAATCAGAAAAGTTCCTGACTTTTTCATTTATCTCGTTGGGAGGGGAGATTTTCTGTGAATGAATGAAAATTACACGTGGGGAGTGATGTTAGTGAAAAGGTCACCATCTCCCCTTTTTTCAGTGTAAAGCCTGCATCATTTATTTCACTCTGTTAGGTTCTGGTCTCAGATTAAAATGTCTCATGTTTTACTAGCAAGAGTAGCAATTTTCAGTGCGGCTGCCCCTCTGTTGGTCTTCCTTGGTCTCCTTTGCTCTTGGGGCCTCTGGATGTCTGGAGCCTTGATCTCCTCCATGCCTGCTTCATGCCCTGGTGGGCGGGGCTGTGGCTCCCCACAGCCTCTAGCAGATCATTACATGAAGGAACCTTTTAAATACAAGCACGCTCTCAGGTGGTTTATGGCTGCCACCTCGAAGCACACTGTGCGCTGTCGATCTTACGTGCTGCACAATAATATTTAATATTTAGTATTTACTGTTATATTCCCATAGATCATCGTGATGTTGTTTATTCTATTGCTCTCTTTTTCTTTGCTTGTTTTCTCTTTTTTCTTTCTCAACAGGTGATCCAGGTGATTGATATATGTATTTTTTGTCTGTTTGTTTTGTTGGTTTTTGGTTTTTGCCCTTTATCACCGTTCCTCTTCCCCGCTGTTTTTCTTTCCCTCTTTCTTTCTCCCTTTTCTTTTCCCCAGTCAAGTCTGTCCCGTGTTCAGCAAATGAAAATAGAATAAACAATAAAAGCAAAGGTGAATCAAATAGACCAAGACGGCAAGGCTGGGATGGTCCATTTGGTAAAGTAAATCCGTTGGGCATCTTTCTTCGCCTTTAGACAATAATTCTGTGGCAAAAGCACCAAACGGGACAGGCAAAAAAAAAAAGAAAAAAAAAAGCAATTTTCAGTGCATATTCTCTGAAAAACCTAAAGATTATAGGATTACACTAACCCTGAATTATCTCATGCAACAGAAGGAAACGGCTGAAAAACAAAAAGTAAAAAACCCCAAAAACCTTTGGATGATATTGAAGTTGCTTTGAAAAGAAAAGGAGAAAAAGGATCTGTCAGCATATTCTTGAGCATTTAAAAAAAATCACATTGTTGACAAGTACGCTAGATCATATGGGATCAGTTCTTTTCCATTGAGTAAAAACATGTACTTACAGGTGTTGCTTTTCCCTAGAGAACGTGTGTGACAGGTGTTTGACGTTCTTGGGTTGATGTTCCTCAACATGTGGGTGGAGGGGCTCCAGAATTTTACTAATCAGAGTACTGATCTTCTCCACAATACTGTTTGACTGCTTGACCTCATAGACCTTTCAACACACACACAGCATTTTGGATCAAATGAAGGCGTTTATTTTATTAATAAGTTTTAGAACAGCCTAGAGTGCATGAACTACTTTTTCAGCATCACTCTGAGACAGGATGTTTCTCGTTTTAGACATATTCCACAAATGTTAGAAAGCAGTCCTACACATTTGTTTAGTACAGTACAGATCCTGGTCAAAACCAACTCTGAGATTCCTCACAGTGTTACTAGAGGCCAGAGTAAGCCTCTAAGAATTTTAGGACTGAATACAGTAACCTCATTATTGTCTGAATTTAGAGTTAAACCTAAATAGTTTGTATATTTGATACTGACTCTAAAATGCCCATTTGAAATATATAACATAGCATAACCTGGCATTTTTTTAACTAACATTTTAAAGACTTACTTTTTTGGTGGGCATCTTTAACTTCATGAATTCAGCTTCTCGACACAGAACGTTCCAGGGAGCATGTATTTTCACAAAGTACACTCCTGGAATCTTGCCCTAAGAGGGAAACAGCATGCAAAAACAACTGTATAAAACTCCCATATAGTTCATTTTCAAAACACAGATAGAGAAATCAAATAATACTGCACATGTATGGCTTCAGATCTCTCTCGCTCGCTGATATGATATCATTATATACTACCAGTCAAAAGTTTGGACACACCTTCTTATTTAATGGTTTTTCTTTATGTTCATGACTATGACTATTCAAAACTATGACTGAACACATATGGAATTATGTAGTAAACAGAAAAGTGTGAAACTCAAAACGTGTTTTATATTTGAGATTCTTCAAAATAGCCACCATAATATGAATCCTAACAGTTGTCAAATAGGACTGTCAGCTGTGCACCATCCTGACTTTTACACAACACAACTGATGGTCCCAACCCCATTAAGAAGGCAAGAAATTCCACAAATGAACGCTGACAAGGCACACCTGTGAAGTGAAGAACTAGTCCAGTTACCAAAGCAAAGGGAATTCCTTTGGGGAATTTAAAATATAACACATATTTAGAGTTATTTATCTTTTTTCTTTGCTTCATAATTCCATATATGTTGCTTCCAGCATTCCGGCTCCAATAGTTGGCAAACTTCATTTGTGCTGCCTTGATCTTGGCCTCTGGTCTCCTTCTCCATGGCGGGTCCTGCTCCTTGTGGCTGATTATCTTATAGCCTAGCATCTCTGGGATGACTGCTGCCGTGGTGTAGATCAGCTGGTTGACTTCGATGATGGTCACAGTAGAGTTGCATTCCAAAATGCTGCATTCACATCTTCCAGTCTAGTAGACCATCAGAGGATATTCCACATAGTCTTGGTGATCAGCCACAGAGGGTCCAGGTTTACAGCTTAACCACGATCCTATCTCTCAGGTATCTCTCAGGTCAGTTGCTCTTGCTACAACACGACTTCAGTTGTGCTTGGGGCTTGGTACCCAATCTCATGTGGGGATGATGATATTTCCTCCCGACCTGATGTCCTGGCTCTCCCTTGGTGTAGCATTTGTGTTGTACCTCATTGATCTCCAGTTATGAGAGCAGTTTCTTCTTCCGAATATTGGAACACTGAGCTACTGCATATTGTTAAGTAAGTAAAATTTACTTATATAACACAAGACGGGAATATATTATAAAGTGCTTTACAAAGATATTACAAATACAGTTTACTCACACAAAAACAACATAACACACAAAAACATTATCCAATATTTTGTTATGCTTGTCTGAATTGACACGTTAGATTAAATCTTACATAGTTTTGGTGCTAAGGTTTGGAAGCTTCCCCTTTAGTTTTCAGACAGGTACATGGTAGCAGTTTCAGCAATCGTAAGGATCTGGTTTGGAGAATAAGGGTGAAGTAGCTGATGATATAAGTGGGGGCCTCTCCTTGTAAGGCCATGAACATAAGAGTTTACGTTTCATGCCTGACAAGGATTTTAAATTGATATCTAAAACTAAGTGGATGCCAGTGCAGACTCTTTAACAATGGGGTGATATGAGAGAATTTGTGAGTGTGAGTTAAAAGCCTTGCCGCAGCATCTTGGATGGTTTAAAGGCGCTTTATCAAAGCTTTTGACAGACAAGAAGAAAGGGGCATTACAATAGTCTAATCGAGAAGAGATGAAAGTATGAACAAGCATCTCCATTTCAGGTTTAGTGATATTACTTAAGTGAAGAAAGCAAGAGCAGGTCACAGATTACATGTAGGCATCAAAAGCCAAAGACTGATCAGAAATTTACTGAGCAGTAGCTTTTACAGCAGATGAGAAAGCTCCCAGATGTTGTCTAATTTGGGGATTAATGCTCTCTGGAGTCATAATTAAACAGCCTGTCTTGTTTGTATTAAGCTACAGAAAAATGTTTGCTGTTCAACCATTTCTTTCCTTAAGACGGTCCATTAGAATGGATAGTTTGTCCAGTTCATAAGGTTTGAAAAAAAAGGTACAGTTGAATATTGTCTACATTAAGATGATAAGAAATGTATTTAAAACTAAAACTAATTCAGAACTAATAATCTAGCGTAGTGGTAGAATATACCATGAGAACAGCAAGGAACTTAAAACAGATCCTTGTGGAACACTGCATGTGACTCTAGCTACATCTGAGCAAAACGTTTCACATTGAGACCAAAAGTCTTCTAACCACAAGAAATGAAGTGAACCACTCCAAGAGCTCCCTGGCCTCTGGTAGAGGACCAAAGCCCAAAGGGGTGAAAGGGGACTTGGGTTTCCTCCTTTTTAATGCTCTGCTCTGCTTCTGTCCGAAGTTTTGGCTTTAGCAAGTGAAATGAATGCTCAAGCTCAGGTGACTGACTTGGCCATTCAAGGATATTCCACTTCTTTGCGTTAATAAATTCCTGGGTTGCTTTGGCTGCATGTTTTGGGTCATTGTCCATCTGTATTATGAAACGCCGCCCAATCAATTTGACTCCATTTAGTTAGATTTGAGCAGACAGTATGTCTTTCAACACCTCATTCAGACTCAATTCATTCAGCTGTTTCTGTCCTGTGTCACATCATTAATAAAATGGCCTGCATTTGTATATCGCTTTTCTAGTCCCTAAGGACCCCAAAGCACTTCACACTACATTCACACTACATTCAGTCATTCACCCATTCACACAAGCTACATTGTAGCCACAGCCACCCTGGGGCGCACTGACAGAGGCGAGGCTGCCGGACAAAGGCGCCACCGGGCCCTCTGACCACCACCAGTAGGCAAACACGGGCATGCAGCCAGGAGGCAGCCTGGGATCGAACCACCGACCTTCTGATTAGTGGCTGACCTGCTCTGCCACCTGAGCTACAGCCACCCCTAGTGTCCTAGTGGGACTGGCAGCCATACACCTCAAACCACCACACTGCCTGCGCCATGTTTTACAGATGATGTAGTTTGCTTTGGATCATGAGCTGTTCCACACCTTCAAGTACCTAGCTTTTGCATTTACTTTCATGCAGTCTTCCCTTTATGGTAGATTTGCATATTGATATGCCTACCCCCTGGAGAGTGTTGTTCACTTGGTTGGCTGTTGTGAAGGGGTTTCTCTTCACCGTGGAAATAATTCTGTGATCATCCACCACTGTTGTCCTCTGTGGACGTCCAGGTCTTTTGTGTTGCCGCATTCACCAGAGCTTTCTTGTACCAAACTATAGTTTGCCACTCCTAATATTGTAGGAATTTCTCGGATGGGGTTTTTCTGTTTTCACAGCCTAAGCATGGCTTATTTCACCTGCACGGAGAGCTCCTGTGACCGCGTATTGTTGGTTCACAGCAAAATCTTTCACTTCCAAGCACCACACCTCTGATCAACTCCAGGCATCTTCTTAATTGATAATGAAATAAAGAAGGAATTGCCCACAACTGCCCATGAAATAACCTTTGAGTCAATTGACCAGCAAGCATTAAAGCATGAAACCTTTCATCCAATTTGAATGTAGATACCCTCAAATTAAAGCTGAGACTCTACACATTATGTCCATTTTATAACTGTAACTGGAATATGTGTCAGTAAAAAAAAAACCAGTAAAAAACATCAAAACCTGCGTCAGTGTCCAAATATATATGGGCCTAACTGTGTGCAAAATACTAGAATTACTGATTAGGAAATACTGATGTCACCTGAACACCCCTGTGTCCCGAGACTAGACTGGTGTTTTACTGTGTATTCTGTTTCAGGAAAATTGATCCTGTAGTCTCTCTCCTCCCTGTCTGTTAGTTCAAAGGTCCAACTTACTGGAAATTTACAAAGACTGGGGATTTTTTTCATTAAACCAGAATTAACCTAGTATCAGCTAATACTGATAGTTACCAAAATGTCAGAAATTAGATAGTGCCATGTGTAGAAAACCAGGAATTCAGACTCTCTGTGGTGCTCACAACCTCAGGTCAGCTGTGGAGACAACTATTTTCTATTTTTATTCTGGCATTAGGACATCTTATACATAGACAGAATATCAGTTTCCACTTTTAAGTGACTGATATATAGATACAGCTAAACTGCAACCCTGCAAATAGTTTTACAGAAACTGGCTGCCTCTTAAAATATTGCAGACATTGAGAAATGGTTATCTTCTAACGTTTGCAGTTAAATATAAGGTTTATATAAGTTACAAGGTAAATAAAAACCACTGTGCAAAAATATAGTAGTAATAATAATAATAATAGTAATTACTATTATTAGACACTGTCATCACTAGACAGAAATTTCAAGATCAAGTCAAATTGTAAATCTGCCAAAACTGTGAAACAGTGTAGCAGTGCATTCACATAGTTCGCAATTAGAACATCAAACTGCAATGGAAATTACTTTTTTCATGCTCAGATCAGGCTTTTCTGGCATGGTGCTTCAAGAACCACAGTTTGTGATCCAGTAGGTGCTTAGTGTAAAATGGCAAATTTCGATCCTCGTGAAAGTTCATTGTTGACTTCATTGTTAAGACTTATGGTCCAGAGATCTCTCTAACAGGTCTATGAAGATTCAGTTCAGGTGTTTTTGTTTTGACCCCTGTGTCATCCATGTACCTGGGAGCAGTATCTGGAAAGAGGTCAGGATTTGTGTTTATACAGTAGTTGATCACTGCTGGAGTCACCAGTGAACTCATGGCATAGCTGCAAGCACATGTGTTCTGTGAGGTGAGGTTGCTTTTGCTGTTGTTCTGTCCTTTAACAAGGACACCAACATAAAAACACACCTTCAAATATATGATGACATCTGTATGGACATTTCTTACAACATGAATAAGTTCATAAATTCTTTCTATTGACATTCTATCGAGTTTGAAGTTTGTGTGTTCAAGTGTGTTTCAGTGGATTAGTGAAGATGTGTAAGAGAGAAAGGGTGAGATGCATGAAAGTGGAGATTGTGACCTGCAGAGCAGTATCATTTCTGTCTCTCTAGTGCATGTGCAGATCTGCTGTTCTTTATGGTGAACAATAAGCTGAGTGGAAAAATGCTGTTGGCCAACAACCCTACAGACATATCTCTCATGGTAGGCATGTCACACTTAGCGCCCCTGAGGGTCATTCTCGCAAATGATAATACATGAAGGGCCATACACAGATACACCTGTTTGACTGCTTGTAAACACACATATTAACACACTCAATTAAATAGCAGCAACTTAAGTCAAGACAACCCTTTAGAAATTCAAAATGAGCATCAAAATAACCCCCCTGTCAGGAGCCTTGAAAGTGCTTATGAGTGTAATGCATATAGGTTTATGAGTGGTTTCATTGTGGAAGCATTCCCATCACTAAATGAGTCATGAGTCAGTCATCATTTTCTGCAAGGGTGATAATAAGTTTAAGGAGCTCCTCTTTATAGTCTGAGGAAGTATCTGCCAGTACAGCTTCACAGCACTGGTGATGAGCCAGTATGTTAGAGCTCTAAAACTGCAATGGCTCTAAAACCAAAGCAGCAAACTTAGAGCTAAAAGTATCAAAACAAAGAAGTAGTCAATTTAAAGTTATGCCTCCCTCTAGGGGAGCAGGTGATGGTTTCCTATTTAGGCAAAGAAAAATGATTTGGCTTGTACTAAGAATATTCACTTCCTTCTCTCATAGGCATTAAATTTGTGCTTTTTTGTTACTGAAACTATGAGATATGTCATGATATCGATATTTTAAGTTTGGTTATAGAAAACATTATATAAAATATAAAAAATATTTTATTTCAGATTGTGACACTGGGAGTGGGTGTAAAACTCATTTGGATGAAGTTTTTTTTCTTTTTTCTTTAAAAAAAAAAGCTAAAAAAAAGCTTAAATGTGTTTTTCGGCCTTGAAGATATTGTGTGGCTAGCTCCTGTACCCAATTTAAAGGTTACAAGGGCTCAAAAATGCTTGGAATAATAAGATGAATTAAAAGCATCAAAATTCAACATATTTAAATGTAGTTTAAGGGCTTGTATACTGAAAGAAACTGTCATTGTATTAGGTTAAAATTTGACATGACTTCATTTAAGATAAGACGTACAAAAAAAGAAAGAAAGACAGAAAGAAATGAGCTTGGTTGGAAGCACACACTGAAAAGAAGTGACCAAATGAGGCCAGTTAGTTATTGTAATAAATAATTATTAGAACTTACATCTTCATCTTTTTCCAGCTCTAGCCCCATGTCTCTCAGTTTTCCTTCAAACTCCTCTCGTCTGAATGCCTTTTGATCCTCCTGGCTATTGAAGATTTCTCCTGAACAGCCCAACTCCATGTCGATAACCGTCGATGAATGTACGGAGGATGAGTCTTTCGTCCTTTGTGTTTGCTTGGCTCGGAGCTTTTCGCCACCACTCTGAGGACCATGGCGGAAGCTGCGGGTAACAACATTCTCAGTGAGGAGATGCACTGACTGGCGAGTGGAGTGGCTTCCACTCGACTTCTTCACGGCATAGGTGAGCACGTAGTCAACACGCCGTTGACCATCCTGGAAGAAGAGCCCATGCTGGGAGCGGGTATTTTCCTCTGGAGTTAGAGCCTTCAGCCGCTGAAAATACGCAGATTTAAACCACACATGTAAGAGCGAGAGCCTAGGGAACATGATTTATGAATTTATAAGTTGACAAGAGGGACTGCAAGAAATGCACATGGAAAGAGATGGGGAGGATATCCAACAAGAACTGCACTCAAATCAGGAGTGTTGCCATTCAGTGTCTGACACCATTGGATCACCAGCAGGGTTCGATGATGTAAACATTTAACAGTTTTGTTCACATATGTTGTTTGTTTGCTTTTTAATACACACAAAACCATATATCATGGAAAGAATGTAAAAATAGCGAGATTTCCTTTCTGGACTTGCACTTATCAAGCTATTCTTTTACTGAGCTTTTGTATGCCAGTACCAGCACAGAAAACACAGTATACACCAGCTACAGTTCAGTGCAGTGTACGACCTGCAGAAGGAACTTCATTTTAATCCTTCTCATTACTTAAAGCAGCAGTATCTGCCTTAAGTAATGAGCAGTGCCGCAGAGTGGCAATAGCCCTCTTAAAGACCGTATCAGTGTAAAAGTTTTGGTTGTGTTCAACAAGGACTGCTGGCTATTTTTATTTTTTAACCAGTATGTTGAGTTTTAAATATATTAAAATAGCTGTAATTGCTGCACAAGATCATCAAAAACTATGGCCAATCATCAGTTGTTCAGTTAGGTCAGTGAGGATGAAGTATTACATCAAATCCAAGTCCAAACTATTATTAAATAGATGTTATTCCGTGTCTTTATTTATCTTGCCTTATCTGTCCTCCTACTCTCTCTCTTTCAGTCTCTGTGTCTCTTGCAGAAATGCTTACCTTAAACTTGCCGTGGAAGATGACATCTCGTAGAAAATGCGGTGTCTGTTGCTCAGACCCAGAGGTTTGAGAGAAGTTGACTTGATCTTCTACATTCTCTGTCATTGTCCAGGTAGAAAAAACGGTAAACTTTTGTGGTGAAGAGTTGTTTTCTTACAGAGAATAGTCCTGGTTCTGCCTTAGGTCTCTCTGTGTTTGCCTCCTGTTTGAGATTTTTCACTATATGACTCTGCTGGGCTTTGATAGCCCCGCCTCTACTCTTATTTTTCAGTGACTTGCCACTTTTCTGTGTTTGTCTTCCTTTAAAGCTCTGTGTAAAGCCCTGTTTTTGTCTGGATTGTGGTGCTACTAAAGTGAGTGAGCAGCCTTGTTACTTGAGATGCATTCTGCAAGCCAAGATCTAAACTTAGACAACGATAAAACTCTGATGAACACAAGGTGCCCTGCCTCACTTTCTCTGTATTTGCTAAACTGTACCAACCTCAATACACAGTGTGCCTCCTTCTCTCGCAGTCTCCTGCATAGCTCCTTAGTATTGCGGTGTTAATAAGTAGTTTTGAAGATTATTAGCACGTGTTATTTATTGATTTATTTTATTGTTTGCAACTGTTTTCTCTCTAATACTGTAATGAAAGAACAACCAGCAGCCGTTGTTGAATAGTTTAAAGGATATCTATCAAGTTTTGTCTGCTCAATTAACTCAGGGTCATAAGGAGCTGAAGCTTATCCCAGCTTTCATGGGGCAAGAGGCAAAACATACCCTGGACAGGTCACCAGTCTCCCTAACCTAATTCATGTCTTTGGACTGTAGGAGGAAACTAGAATACACAGAAAGAGTCCACATAGACACGGGGAAACATGCAATCTCCACACAGAATGAACGCAGCCTGAATCTGAACCCAGACCACCTTACATGAAAACACTGTGCAACAAAGTGTTTCATTGGTTCTGTGCAGGTTTTCAGTCATCCAGGTAGACCGGGGAGCCTGAAAAGAAAACGAATGGACTTCCTTAAGTTTCTTGAAAACATCTTACCTTTCATCTGAGAAGCTTCTAAAAAATAAAAAACCAAAAGAAGTCCAGTCACCTTCTTTCTAAACTTTATTTTGTTCAAAATGTACAGTCAAGTCTGCTTGCAATTTCAGTGGTATTTGTTCAATATATACAGAGGTCAAGTACAGTTTTATAATAATATTAAAAACAGTTCTGATATGATCCACATTACATGAAGGCAGACATTTTCCTTTACTGTGTAGCCGACCACGGTCTGGAATACACAGTAAGTTACTCCTATTAGTAATAATAATTGACTTGATTACTGTCAGTGCGAGCTTTTAAAGTGGAGCTCTACAGTCTTGGGACACTTTTCCTCAAGTATATAAAAAAGTTATCAAAACATGACACTTCAGTGTAATTCTGTGTAGATTTTCCTGTGTGAAGCTGTTCCAGGAAACTGTCCTCTCTTCCATAATTGTTTACTTTGTGAGAACTAGGATCCAAAAACTTTCTGTCCAACCTCTCATTCCTGACACTTCAATCCCACAAGTTTATGTAACACAGCAGCAACATCCGCACTCAAGTGTATTTTTAGACTTTAAGAGTAAAAAAATATACACAGAATCAAGCAAAGGAAAGCAGAGACCTTGTAGAGCACAGGCTGTCGAGCTCTCAAGGGATGCCATGTGTCCGACTCAATACTGGGAGCAAGATATAGGGGTTAAAGGTCAATTCTCACAGGGAACAGCAGGAAGTGGTGTTTGTGTTCACATACTGTAACTCAGCTTTTCTAATAATTGCTTAAAACTTTGTGTACATCAGTCAAATTATGTTTCGACCAGCTGGGGTTTTGCAGGTCACACCTTTCTAAGCGTCTGAGACAAACAGCAATCAACAGCTTGTCTTACTAGAGAATTGGGTAACCTTTATATTACAATACAAAAGTTATAAACACTTACCCAGAAACCAAAATGTAGTTAAGACATACTTCATGCATTACAACAGTAAGTATCATTCAAAGAACAGTGCAGATTCCTATGAACAGACCGTATTCATATGCTTTTTATGAAATTATGAACCTTACAGAGGATAAAATTAAATCATCAAATATTCAAACCAGAGGACTGTAGAATTCACAAGGTCTTGCTGGTTAATCAGTATTTTCTGAATACCTTTAAATCAAAACCATACTATCCGGTTGTTCAGTGATGACGCGACGAATCCTACTTCCGGGCCTAAAGTAGTCTGCGTTTAATATGGCTTTTGTGTTGTTAACATGTTTAATGTTTTGTATTTTCTTCTATTTAATCTCAAAAAGCTCCTAAAACAGTCAGTGATCACTGTTGACCTCCCTCGGCTTTTATTACGCTAATCATTTATTTAAGCTCAGTTTTTAAAACCTTAGGATGTAACTACAGCCCAGCCCATGCAGCAGTATATGAATGACTAACCTCGTATGGATGGATTATCTCAGTTGTTCTCCTGGCTGAAGTTTGGTCCTTTTACAGCATCCTGCCATGCGATTACATTTGTTCCTGACCACCGAGAACACTCACGTTAACTTTTATCGAGTGGAAAAAAAGTTAGCTTGTTTATATTATGCTAACATAGCTGTGCTAGCCCAACTTCAGTAACCCTACAAACGTCACTGCTTTTTAGTTTTCTGTCTTCATTTATGCTGGAAGTGATAACAGAGCTGTACGTTTTAATTTGTTTCCAAAACCCCGCAGTCAGGACATGCTATATTGTATTTAGATAGAAGCTAGCGAGCTAACTCCCTGCTAACTTCTAACTCCGTTAAATGTCATAAATTCCGTTTTCATGGATGCCTGGATGTTAAACTCAATTGTTACACCTGGTAGAGCAGAACGCTGATCATTTTATTAAAGATGAAAGACTTTAGACAGTTTTTCAACTCTCAGTAATGCCACAGTGATCGTTTGATATATGGACCAGCAGCGGAGTTTAGGCCCAGACACGGCTAGTGACGTCAGACTGAACAACCGGATACTACAGTGGTCTCCAACCTTTTTTGCGCCACGGACCGGTTTATGCCCGACATTATTTTCATGGACCGGCCTTTAATGTGTTGCGGATAAATACAACAAAATAAAACTAGTACCGGTACCGAAAAAAGAAGATTTATACATAACACACGTGAAAAGACCCATGAAAACCGAGTTAACGATCAAAACGATAACAAAATAACGCTGAAAACTGATAAAAACCCTGAAAACCATACATTTCACACCTGAGCCTCAACTCTCGCGGCCCGGTACCAAACGACTCACGGACTGGTACCGGTCCGAGGCCCGGGGGTTGGGGACCGCTGCTATACTACATCTGTAATGTTAACTACCTCTAACTATTAGTGGTTTCCAGATTCATCAGTGCCTGAGCAGCAAAAAGCTCCAAGCTAACAACAACAAGGTGTCTGTGATTCAGGTTGTAACAGCAGTTGTAAAGCACTTTCCTAATCTTCCTGCACAGTCAAAGAGCTTTGGAGCACATTTAACCCTACAGTGCTTTATTATACACCAAATAAGCACTTTATCTACCTCACAAAGAGTAGTCCACTGTTTGTAAACCTTCATGACCTACTTTGTGGGTGGAGTCCAAGTGGTGGCATAAAGTGACTGCTGTTGGTAGAACGGTCATTCATTGGAGCTAACATTCCACATTGGGGTATGAATCGTCTCTTTTGTATACCCTGTGGAAAAACTCAGCGTCTATATGAAGGGAAAAACTTAGACCATATAAATCTTTCGACCTTAACAAGTTTGTACCATGCAGTCATGTCAAGGTCACTTCATGTGGAGATTTGTCAGATCATTTTTCTGTACTCTGGACAGACGTGTTGCCAAGTCAAGTCAACGACATAAAACACAGCTATACAGATGTGGATTGTAAACAAGTGAAATACTACATACTGATGGGGAACTGCACTTGCATGGCTGGATTAGTGCTCATAAATCTGCTGCTTCTACTTCCTTCTACCTGAATGTGTGTAAAAACATGTAGAATGTTAAAATGTAATGTAAAACCTTCTACATAATCTAAGTACTGATTACATCACTTACAGGTTACATCAGAGGCCTGAATAATTCATCCTGGAACTGCAGTGTTAGTACAGTATGTCCTCTATGAATTGCATATATGAATATTACCTGGATCAATATACCAAAATGTTGATTCTGTTCATCTGGAAAGTTTTAGTGGAAACCCACAAATCTTCTTACCTGGATGTCAGTGCTTGCATCAAGACCTAGATCAGAAGTTTATATTGTTAAATACAGTCTTTTATGTAGGCTAATCATTGCAGGGTATGTTCATGCTGCAGCCATGCAGCCACAATGCCTCATAGAGGACGGGAAGAACAGACACAGGAAACACATCGATGACCTTCATGAGATAAGACATGTCCAGCAGCACTGAGTCAGATCAATTTCAGGAAGCCAAAGATGACAGCCAGCCAGCTCAGACATTCTTAAGAGAACTAGCAGGCCTAATGTGAAAGGCATGGACATCTACCAAGTTCAGTTCAGTCATATTTAAAATGAATTAAAATGTGTAGCCAAAACTCTATAAAACCTTTTTTCTTGACACGGAGCGAATAAGTACGTAAACATATGTTGCTTTAATACATAGGAAGCTAAGAAGCCTTGAACCTAATGCAGCTGTTCTTACTAGAAGGCACCTCACTGACACAGATTCTGAATCAGACACTGAAAAAGATCTATGAGATCCACTTTCATCTGTTTATGACATGCAGTTATGGCGCCTCCCACCACCCATTATAGAGAAGTCATGAGATGCAGGAAGAAACTTAAAAATAAGCTTACTTCAGACTAAGTTTACTGCAGTGTGAAACCCTGGAGCTTATTAGCAGGGAGCCATCAAAACGCAGAAAAAGTTACAGTTACAAACACTGTCCTCACCATTTTTTCAATAACCGGAAAAAATTACAGATTTGTTTTGTGAGAGGGCAGAACAGGAGCAGCTAGAAAATGTCATTGAAATAAGTGTCTGACTTTGTCATCAGTCCGATGTCGGAGATGAATACTTGCTGCTGAGAGCTGGGCCCAACGCTGAACATTTCCTCAATCATCCCCAGCTTCCTAGATGAATACGCTTTGTACTGTTCACACATTGTTTCCACAGGAAGTGTTCAGATGGAGAGGAAACCATCTAAATGACTTTAAACACAGTGCAAAATCTAAGAGGCAATATAGCTCCAGATGGAAGTTAAAAATACTTGCAGCTGCCAGTACCACCCCTCAGCCTCCTAGTAGACACATCTAAGCTATCAATTTCAAAATTCCACGTCATCTTGTTTTCAAGTTATCACATTCACAAGATTTCCAGAAA